ACAGTAGGCACAGGTGTGTGCTTGCCCAAGATCCTAAGAGGAGAATGGAGAAGGGATTGTGCATGGCCACCCCCCAGAGGGTGATTTCTCACTTTCCCTCTCACTGACTGACTGTCTGTCTCTGTCTCTCTGTCTCTGTCTCTCTCTCTCTCTGGTAAGTGTATGAGCCCTAAGGTGGGAGGGGGGAAGACTCTTAATTTTAAAAAAATTGAGGGGACCAGCAGATAGCATAATGGTTACATTGCCGGACTCCCACATAGTTAACTGCAGTTCAAATCCAGGACCCCGTGGCTTAAAGCTCACCCCAGATGTGTGTGTGCGTACACGTACCCAAAATCCCGAGAGCAAAATGGAGGAGAAGGGTGTGCCCATCCCGCCGGGGGATTATTTCCCGCCTTCTCTCTGTCTTTCTCTGTCTCTCCAGCAAGCATGCACGCCCTATAGCAAAAATATCTCAAAAAAGAACATTACAGAACTAAAGCAGTACAGTTGGTAAAGAGTCCTATCTAGGCTTCAGCTCCTTCACGGGCTCAGAGAGCAATTTCTGAATGGCAAAGATTCTATGTGCTATTTGTAACATGACATTTATAACAGTTCAGGCACCTGTCACTGTGCTAAGTTCACAACTTTAAAGTTCAAGCTAGAAGTTATTTAATCATATACTAATGGTCAGCTTACTCATCAGGCTGAATACAAGAGAATTTCATTCATTAAAAGAAGAAAGATGCAGAGCAAAATCAACGTGGAATCTTCATGAAGGGGGTAGAGTCAATTAGACATTTAGCTTCCAGTTTAAGGCTGGAAGTTCAGTGGACTTGGCACACTGAAATGACCCAGTAGTCTACTTTAAACCATTTCTTCCCCATGCCAAAATGATTCAATTACAGTCAATCAGAAAAAATTTAAAATGTCTTAAGTTGATCTTCAAAATATGTACTTTTACATAATACATTCATCTTAATTTTCATGAAAATACATAAATAAAATTATGAAAGTGGAAATGTTCTTTTAGTCCATCAGTAGACAAAAATTTAAGAAGACTGGGAAGCAGGTGGCATTCCAATTAAAGTGCTGGATCCCACATAACTGACTCCATGGTTGAGTCATGGGCCTGGAGGCTTGAGAATCACTCTGGGGATGTATGCATATATGCCCAAGATAACAAGAAGAAAACAGAAGAGAAAGGACTGTAGTGTGGCCATTCCCTCTAGGGGTAAAGGAAGATTTCTCATTTTCCCTCTGCCTCTCTCTGGTGTACACACATACCCTATAGTTAAAAAAAAAAAAAAAAACTAAAATTTAAGAAGACAGATAAAATTAAGATTTTTTAACCAATAATACTCTTTCGAGCAACTTAAAAGATGTGCTAGTTTGATGGTGAAGCTGTATTTGCAGAAGAGGTTTGTCTTGATGTAAGGGGGGAAATCACCTCCAAAGATGATGGTGTGAGAAATACTTAACTTCAAAATACCTTTAGAGGGCTGGCATCATGAGATAGTGGTAACTTGCTGTTCAAGAGAAACCAGACCCCAGATGGCCACCACAATTCAAATCCCTGGCCTGGTCAGCCTGAAACGTACTAGATCTGACAGGACAGAGAACTGGAGGAAGGGGATTGCAGCGTGCTCAATTCTTGTGGAGGGCACTATAGTCACTCTCTCTCTCATGTGCATGCAATGTGTGCTCTATCATGAATGAGTAGGTGGGATCGAGAATCTTTTTTAAAAAAGTAACTTAGGTTAAAAAAAAACCTTTGGGGGCCAGCAGGTGGCATAGGAGCTAAGGCGCTGGACCACGGTTCAAGTCCTGGACACAATGGCTTGAAATTCACACCAGGCGCATGTGCATGTGTGCCCAAAATTCCAAGAGGAGAATGGAAGAGAAGGGACTGCAGTGTGGCCATCCCGGAGGGGGGGATGACTTCTCATGTTCTGTCTTTCTGCCTTTGTCTCTCCACCAACCACACATGCCCTACAGCAAAAAACTTCTTAAAAAAAAAAAAAAAACAAATTTGGGGATTACGATCCATTTATAAATCCATTATTGATAATTCAAAACAATTTCTCCCTGAAAAAAACAAGAAATCTGTCATTCATAACTTCCTCTTCTCAACCAATTCTTACTTTAGCTTTTTACTATACTCCTTACACCTATGATCTAACTAAAGTCTTCCAATTTCATCTCAAATAAATCTCATGCCCAGCTTTACCCTGAATTCCTATCAATACTGCTCTACTTCACAGCACCATCCCTATTACAATTTCTTGATTATTCTTCTTACCTTTAATATTGCCCCTTTAGGGACCAACAGTTGGCATAATGGCTATGTCGTTTGACTCCTATGTAGCCAACCGCGGTTCAAGTTCTGGACCCTGTGTCTTAAACTCATACCAGGCACATGTGCGTGCGTGCCCAAGATCCCAAGAGGAGAATGGAGGAGAAGGGATTATGGCACCCCCCCCCCCCCGGGGGGGGGGGGGGTTACTTCTCGCTTTCTGTCTCTGTCTCGCTGTCTCTTTGTTTCTCTTTCTGGCGAGCACACATGCCTTATAGCAAAACCTCTCCCCCCCCAAAAAAAAATTATCCCCTTAAGTCTGTCCTACACATCACTAAAACACTAAAAACACTCCTAAAAACACGCCTTAAAACATGTGAGCACCAGGACCAGTAGTTGACGTCATGGCTATGTCACTGGACTTCCACGTAGTTGACCACGGTTTGAGTACCGGACCTGATGGCTTAAATTGACAACAGGCGCGTGTGTGTTCATGCACAAGATCCCAAGAGGAGAATGGAGGAGAAGGGACCACGGCGTAGCCATCTCCCCAGGGAGGTGATTACTCATTTTCTGTTTCTCTGTCCCTCTCTGTCTTTATGGTGGGGGTGATTACTCATTTGTGTGGGGGCTTACAAACGCTAAGGAAAAAAAAAAAAAAAAAAAACCTCTCTAAAAAAAAAAAAGTGAGCATGGAGCTAGTAGGTAATGTGGTGGCTGAAGTACTGGACTCTCACATGGGTGACCATGGTTCAAGTCCCGGACCTGGTGGCTTGCTGTCACTTTTCCTTTGTCTTTCTATTACTGGTGAATTAAAAATAATAATAAATAAATTAAATTAATATTTATTAATAAAAAAAAAAATCTGAGCATGCCCCTCACCTGCTTAAAACCTTGTAGTGGCAATGGACAGGATCAGCAGATGGCTTAATGGTTACATCGCTGGACTCCCAAGTAGTTGACCACAGTTCAATTTCCAGACCCAGCAGCTTAAAACTCACACTGGGCGCATGTGCATACATGCCCCAAATCCCAAGACAAGAATGGAGGAGAAGGGATTGTGGCGTGGCCATCTCCCAGAAAGGAGGGGGGATTTCTCGCTTTCTGTCTCTCCGGCAAGCCCATGTGCCTTATATTAAAAATCTCTCTTTAAAAAAAAAAAAAAAAAAAAAAAAAAAACCCTGTAGTGGCAGGCACCATTTTTTTCACACACAGAATGAAATCAAAACTCTTTCATTCATTCAGCAATTGATTGCTTATGATTCTTACAAGTAGGAACTATGCTAGGCCTGAGCATATTAACAGGACACTAATTAACATGCATCCTTCAGCTCCAGAATGACTTTTTTTTTTAAGAGAAATTTTTGCAACAGGGTGCACACACTCACCAGAGAGACAGAGAAACAGAGATAGAAAGCGAGAAATCACCCACGAAGGGGGATGGCCACGCTGCAATCCCTTCTCCTCCATTCTCCTGTAAGTACTTTGGGCACACATGCACATGCACCTGCCATGAGTCTTAAGCTGCAGGATCCATGACTTGAACCATGGTCAACTTACATGGGAGTCCAGTGACATAACCATAACACCATCTGCTGGTCTCTAGAATGACTTTTGTAGGATGAAAAAAATCAAAGTAAATTATTTCCAGAAAACAATTTCAGTATCAGGAAAACAGTTGAGACACTTCGTATTCTAAAAGAGTCTATGACATTTTTGAGAATTCAGTGTAATCTGTGATTGTTTGAAATCAAAAGTTTAAAAATGTAAGAATCCCTTCAACTTCTAGGTCCGAAAAAAATTTTTTAGAAACTGTTATGCTTATGACATACATAAAGCATAAAACCATAAAATACTGAATAAAAATAGATCATTACCTCATTTAACCTAGTAAAAGCAAACCATGTACTAATATGTGTACCATATTTGGGTGATACGTTTAATTTCTCTGTAAGTCAACCCTTAAATAAGGCTGCATTGAACTCCTAATTCACAGATACTAAAGTTTAAACCAGCATTGAGCATTTTCCCAAGAATTCAAAAACAAATGCTAAAGAATAAAGTATATATCATGACTTGGTTACAATGGTATAAGAATAGTAAACAAGAGCCAACCTAAAATCTGACAAAACCAGTTATATGACAAACACTTCTCCTTAAGAGCATGAAAATCTTTCATACATTCATTCATTCAATAAATACTTATTGAGTACCTACTATTCTAAACACAAAGAATGAGCCAGCCCCGTGACCTAGTGATTAAGGGAGCCAGATCCCACACGGCAAACCGTGGTTCAAATCCTGGCCCTAAAGGCTTGAAAACCACACCAGGCATGTTTGCTTGCGTGACCAAATCCCGACAAGAAGGAGAAATGAAGAAGGGACTGCGGCATGACCGTGCCTCGCTGAGGAGTGCTTTCTTCCCCTCTCTCAGGAGTGCATGCACTCTCCGACCAAAGAAAGAAAGAAAGAAAGAAAGAAAGAAAGAAAGAAAGAAAGAAAGAAAGAAAGAAAGAAAGAAAGAAAAAGAAAAGAAAAGAAAAGAAAGACCAAAAATCCTTGTCCTTATGGAGCACATAAGATTTAATTAATAAAAGTAACTTTGGAGGGGAGTTTATTTCTTTCCAGACAGAGAGAACAAGACATAGGCCAGCCAGAATCAAAGTACACCCACAGGCAAACCCAGCGTGTCCAGGGAGAGCTGGGACACAAACCAAAGCCTTACCATATGAACTCCGGCACCATGGAGCCGTGCTCCCGCTGCCTGTATGATCACAACTGGGCCTTGTAGTCTAAAATAAGGAATTCTCACAGTATTAATCAGTAAGTTTTTTAGAAGTGGTCATGATGTTGTTTTTTTGTTTGGTTGATTTTGGTTTTGGAGAGAGATTTTTTGCTATAGGGCACGTGCACTTGCTGGAGAGACAAAGACAGAAAGCCACCAGGTCCTGGCCCCAAATCACAGTCAGCCATATGGGACTCCAGCACTTAAGCACCACATCACCTGCCAGCCCCAACAGACATATCCTGGATACAGATTTGTCTTCCTTGACTGACTGCAATGTTTCTTCCAGCATCACCATCAAGATCCTGGGAGACATCTTTTCATCACCAAAGTACACTGCTAAACATTACTTCTGCTCAAAGAACTCATTTCACAGTTCAAAAAGAAAAAAAAAAGAAAAAAGAAGAAAAGTACAGATAGGGCTCTGGCCCTTGGACTTCACAGGTCTTACTATATATTCCATCATTCGGAAGCATCTAGTCTAAAAGAATGTACTGCTGAGTACTCGCTCACAATGCTGGTTTGGAGACCAAATTCTCAGGGATGGGGATTCTACGTCACAGGCTGCATTGCTTTAAATCAATAAGCAATATACAATGTTGTTTTTCTCCATAGCCAGAGTATATGGACCTAAAAATCAAGAGGTAGAACTGGTTCTTCTTACTATATCCTCAAAAATACCATTAGCATAAGTTTTGCTTCCAATATCTACAACTGTTAATATGTATAGGGTTGGAGCCTTGGTCCCAAGGAAGGAAAGATCCTACCAGGCTCCACTGAACTGGAAGTTCAATCAGTCTCATGTTCATTGCCCCCAGGTCTTAAGGCATTCTCCACTTGACACAGTGATATCTGGAACAAAATAATTCTCTGCTGTTGAGGGCTATCCTGAATATGTAGATGTTTGCGCAGCATCTTTGAGCTCTACCCACTAGAAGCCAATTGCACTGCCTCCCAAGTTATAACTAGAAGTACTTGCAGAATCACCAAATGTCCCCTGGGAGGCAAAACTGCCCCTGACTGAGAACCACTGCACTATGTCAACAGTCAAAGAAGAAGGTTAGTCTACTACTAGCTGGTGTAATTCCGCCTGATGACCAAGGTGACGTTGGACTGCTGCGAAACAAGGAAGACAGGAAGGACTATGTCTGGAAGCATGAGGATTCTCTGAAATATTTCTAACCCTTCATAAATAAGAGCAAAACTTCATTTAGTCTTTAGGTAAGAGAATATTCCAATGGGGCTATGAATCTAGGGCATAATTAACATAGCCTAGGTATGGGTAGTATAAATATCACCCAAGAATGGATATAACGAATACTGAAACTTTGCTCCTTACTTTGGGAAGAGGGTAAGGACATCTTCATTTTTACAAAGGACTTTCCATTCTATTAAGCAAAAGTTTAGTAGTTTTCTTCTTGAACAGTGATAAAATACCTGTATAAAGGCATGCAAGGCTACTGAAGGGCCGAAGTGGTGAGCTGTGCCAATTGCTAAGTTGGCACATCTTTGACCTTTTTCTTCTATACTCTGTCTCCTGATGGTGGGGCTATTGTGCAAACTATATTTCTCCTTTGCCAGCTGGCTCTTTGTTAAGGCTCTGTCAATGGGGCACTAAAGAGATACTGGAAGACTGGAAGAGGGACAAAGGACTTGATTCTTCCTATTTGCTTCTTGTTCCTGTCAGCATCACCCCAGTTGAACTTTTCTATACAGCCTACTAATATGAAAACTCCTTACATTTACTCTAGTTTCTAGAAGTCAAGCAAAGAACTAAACTGTGAAATAGTTTTAGTTGCCATTTAATGAGACTTCCTTAAAAACGAAGATCAATAAACAAAAATCAATGCATTTCTATATACTGGCAGCAACTGAAACTGAAAAACAATACCTATTAAATGGCAATCCTCTCAAACTGATCTATGGATTCAACCAATCCCTATAAAAATAGACTTTTTTAAAAATATAAACTGACAAGTTGACCCTAAACAGTGAATAGATAAACAAAGGATCTAGAAAAATAATTTTAAAAAAGAATGAAGTTCGAGAATTTAACTTGATTTCATATTTTACTACAAAGCTACTAAAAAGGCTCATGGTTTAACAGTAGGCATATGCAAGTACAACATTTTAAATGAGTCATAAAACTTAGTAGAAACCTAAAACAATGAACATTTCTACAAAAAAAAAAAATTTGTGACCTTGCATTAGACAAAAGTTTCTTATATACATCAATAGCACAATTTTTAATTGATAAATTAGACTTCAGAAAAATTAAGAACATCTGCTTTCTAAAAAGTTTGAGAACAAAAAGCCAACCCAAAAACTAGGAGGAAATATTTGCAAATTACATATTAGATAAAGGACTTGTATTCCACATGTATTATGAACTCTCAAAACTTGTAATAAAACTCAATTTTTTTAAATGGGCAATAGATATAAATACATTTCACCAAAGGAAAAAAGTGGAGATGTACATTGCACCAAACAAAATATTCAGATGGTAAATAAACACGTAAAAAGATGCTTAGGTTCCAGACCCAGCAATTTGAAAAACGTACCAGCTGTGTATACATGTGTACCCAAACTCTCAAAAGAAATGAGAAAGAGATGATGATGGTCCCCCATGAAGGGTGCTTTATCACTTTCCCCTTCTAACTCTTTCTTTCTCTTTTCAGCGAACACACACACCCTCTGGCAAATTTAAAAAAAGATGCACAGGACCAGCAGATGGCATGGTGGGTTAAAGGCGCTGAACTTCCACATGGTTGACCTCAGTTCGAGTCCCAGACCTGGTGGCTTGTTTTCTTACTCTCCCTCTCTCCCGCCCTCCCGCCCTCCCTCTCTCTCTCTATCTCTCTGATCAAATTAAAAAATAGTAAATGAAGTTAAATAAAATAATTCTTTTAAAAAAAGAGAGAGATGCTCAATATGGGAAATGTAAAACAAAACCACAAAGAGATACCAATAGGATGGCTGTAATAAAAAAAAAAAGAAAGAAAGAAAGAAAATATTGGCAAAATGCAACCAGAACTTTCATATAGTGTTATAAAATGGTATAATCACATTGGAAAACAGCTTGGCAGTGTCTTAAAAAGTTAAACATATGAGACTAGCAGATGGTATAATTGTTATGCCACTGGACTCCCACAAGACTGACCATGGTTCAAGTCCCAGAGGTCTTGAAACTCACACTGGGAGTGTGTGCATGTGTGCCCAAAATCCCAAGAGGAAAACAGAGGAGAAAAGATTGCAGTGTGGGGAACCAGCAGTTGGCGTAATGGCTATGTCGCTGGACTCCCACGTAGTCGACCGCGGTTCACGTCCCGGACCCGGGGGCTTAAAACTCATGCCGGGCGCGTGTGCGTGCGTGCCCAAGATCCCGAGAGGAGAATGGAGGGGAAGGGATTGCGGCGTGACCATCCCCCCTGGGGGGGGATTTCTCGCTTTCTGTCTCTATGTTTCTCTCTGTCTGTCTGGCGAGCGCACACGCCCTATAGCGAAAATCTCTCCAAAAAAAAAAAAAAAAGATTGCAGTGTGGCCATCCTCCCTGGTGGGTGATTTCTCCCTTTGTGCCGACCTGTCTCTCCGGTGAGTGTACATGCCCTATAGCAACAACAACAGTAACAAAAAACTCTCCCCCAAAAAAGGTGAATATAAACCCACCATATGACCTATACGACCCCTTCACATTTACCAAGAAATGACAGTATAGGCCTATATGTCACATACGCAGTTTTTTTTTTTTTTTTTAACTTTCAGAGGGTGCACGCATTCACCAGAGAGAAAGAGAGAGAAAACATCCCTCAACAGGGTGTGGTCACGCCACCATCCTTTATCATCCATTTCTCCATCCCATCAGGATTTGGGGCATGCACACACGCACAACAGGTGGGTTTTTCAAGCCTCTGGGCCAGGATTCAAACCACTGTCTGTCATGTAGGATCCGGTTCCCAGTGTACCAAGGCTTAGCCACTGCACTGCAGGGCTGGCCCTACATGAACTTTCAGCACAACTTTATTTGTAATAGATAAAATATGGGTTGTCACCAGTTATTCATCAACATGTGAATGGATAAACAATTTCTGACATATCCACTGAGATAAAAACAGCTCAGTAGGGGCCAGACAGTAGTGTAGCAACAAAACTCAATATCCTGCAAGGCAAACCCGTATGGGAAGATTCCTGGTTCAAGTTTTGAGACCTCCCTGAGAATGCCGGGCATACCCATGACCTAGAGCTGAATGAAAGCTGGGGATAGAGAATAGCACTGGGATCCTGTTGGGGATGCTAGCTCTCTCTGGTACACATTCATAGAGGAAAGAAACTTAAAAAAAGAAAGAAAGAAAGAAAGACAGACAGACAACTCAATGGTTGCCTAGGGATGAGATGAGGCAGAAACAGATTATAAGGATACTAAAGGAAAACTTCTGTGGGTACTATATGTTCGTTATCTTGGTACGGCCAAGTTTATAGGTATATGAAAACCCATCAGAGTCTACATTTTAAATATGTCCGGCTTATTTACTGTATGGTAATTTTCACCTTAATATAAAAGCTGTAGATTATAATAGAATATTAAAAAGGCAGTAAAGTTCCAGATAGGCCCCATGGATGAGTAGTTAAGGGAACAAGATCCCACATGGCTGATTCAGTTCAAATTCCAGCTCCAGTGGCTTGAAAAATATTCCAGGTGCATGTGCCCACATGCCCCAAATCCTGACAGGACAGAGAAATAGAAGAAAAGGGACTGGGGTGTGACCCACATCTCACTGGGGGGTGATTTTGCCCTCTCTGTCTGGTGAGCACATGTGCTCTCTGGCAATTAAAAAAAAAAAGTGATAGCCTCTAAAAACGGCAGAAAAAAAAGAAAGAAAGAAAGAGAGAAAAGAAAAGAAAAGAAAAGAAAAGAAAAGAAAAGAAAAGAAAAGAAAAGAAGAGGCAATATTCTTGTATATTTACTAATATACTTCCCTGGTGTGCTTCATTATTTTCTACAGTTTTATACTTAGAATTAAGACATTTTTCCCTCTGCTTACGGAACTTTCAATGAAAAAATGCATGATGACCTTTCCGATGACCCAACAGTAACCTTATAGCATACGTTTGCTTGCAATAAACTCAGCTTTTGTTTGTCTAATAATGTCTTTATTTCACCCTCTTTCTGAAGGATATTTCTGTTGAGAATAGAATTCTATCTTGGCAGTGTTGTCTTTTGACACTTTTAAATCTTCCTGTTATTTCCCAGTTTCCATAGTTGTCTTGAAAAGTCAGCCAACAGTATATTATTGCTCCTTTTTATATATATATTTTTTCCTTTTTGGCTACTTTTAAGAGTTTCTCTTGGTCTCTACTTTTCAATGGTATGCCTAGTTTTCTTTGTATTTATCCTGCTTGAGGTTTGCTAAAGCACTTGAATCTGAGTTCTCATCTTCCACCAAAATATTCTATCATCATCTCTTCAAGTATCTGCCTCCACAGTAGTTTCTCTTCCCTACTTTTAGGTCTTCAATCACACATTTTTATTAGTGTTTCTTGAGTCTCTTGGACTCCTAGACTTTTTACTAGTGTTTCTTATGTCTCTTTAGACTTTTTTCTTTTGCAGGGACAAATTTTAATATTTAATAAATTTTATCTTGATAGCTTCAAAAACAAGTTAGCATTTAAACATTCTTCTTTGTGGTAACACTGGAAGAAGCCCACACAGGTTACTTCTGAGGACTTGCTACAGCTTTTAACTGTTCTTTGGCACTAGCTGATGGAACTAAGGACTTCAAAAGTGTTTTTGCTGGTTTCTTCACCTTCTTTGGCTTACTGAAAACTGATTTCTTCTTTCGGTGCATTCCAATAAAGGTGCTCCTGGATTAGTATTGTTCCCAGTCCTAGGAACAAACTCGAAGGACTGTTGCTGCTGTCCTCCAGTTTTTGAATAACTGATGGTCAAAATGAAAGCGCCTTTGGACTGATAAGATTCCTGAGATTTACTCGATGTGGTTTATAATTCTCAACAGGTTCAATGCTGTTGGAGGGTGTCTCTCCTCTGGCTTCAACAGCATCTTCAGCCTTTTCTTCAGGAACAGAATCATCCAATGGAAACACTTCAGATGATCTGGTACTCACAAGTATTATTTTGCATTGCTCTGCTTTCTTGATAATGATAGGGGTGATGCCACAGTACATCTTTCAAGAAATGTTCCATCAAACCGCTAAAACCTGTTTGTTATCTACTCTGTCTGATCAAGCTTCTGTGCTGAGCACTAAACAAATGCTGTTCCAAGCTGTTATCCTATGCATGGCCATAGCTGCAACATCCTTGCCTCTTCTGCATCCTCAATAACCAAAGTCAGGTGGCTACTGTTTTTGAATACTCAAACTATTACTTTTTATTATGAGGACCTTTGATTTTCTGGCTTATCACACCTACGGGAAAAATAAGTCAATTAAACTAGCCTCTCTGTCCTTGCAATCAGGCAGCCCAGCTTCAGAAGGCTTTCCGTAAGCCAAAGCGTCCAGGAGCGGGCACACATGCCCTCTATGCCATCAAGATGTCTGAGAGCTGTGTATATGTTGGTCACATGTAACAGAGGACATGATTCTTGGTTGGAGGCTTGGCTCCAAGTTTACTCAGTCTAGGGCCCAGAGGGAAGGAGCAGATACTCTCTGGAATACTGCCTGTCTCTTAGATGACGGGATTTATTGCAAAGGGGAGCACTCAGAAACAGCCAGACGGAAGAGACATGTAGGGTAAGGTACCTTGGAGTCTCCATGTCCTCGCTAACCCCCACTCCAGGACCTCCATGTATTCCACTCTTAGAATTTTTATTAGAGTTCTCTGTCTCTTAGGCTCTGTTCCACTTTTTCCATTCTTTTTTCTTCTTATGCTTCCATCTCTTAATTTTACTCACCAGAGAGAGAGAAGGAAAGTGAAAAATCACCTCTCGAGGTGATGGGTGGCCATGCTGCAATCCTTTCACCTCCGTTCTCTTGGGATTTTGGGTATGCCCACTTACGCACCCAGAGTGTTTTCCCAGCCTCCAGGTCTAGGACTCAACCCTCTTAGTTGGCCATGTATGATCCAGGCATATTAACCACCATGCCACTGGCTGGCCCAAGTACATCCATCTCTTTTCTATTTATTTTTCCCTTCTTTCATGAGAAAGAGAAGAATAAAAGGAAGATAGAGAGAGGTGTATTTTGACAAGGTATCCCTGTGAGGTAATCCTCCTTTCCTGGCCTCCCAATTTGTCGGGATTACAGGCACATGCTACCATACCCAAGGTGTTCAAGTTGGCCCAGAAATTGAAACCAGGACTCCCATGTGTCTTCCAGTCTCCCACACAGTGACACTGCCTGTGAACCACTGCATTTGGGCCTCCACTAGACATTTTCCTTTGACCTATCTTTAAATTCCGCTGCCTTTTGTTGTATAGTATGCTACTAAATCCATCTGAGCCTTGCCTCCCTGCCATGGTTGGTAGCATACTAAACTGTAGTGCCAGAAGCCACATGACCAAGTGTGAGTCTGGATCCCCTGTTCTATCACCTGAAACATGCCAGGCACATACATACATGCTCAAGATCCTAACAAGTTACAGGACTAAGTGAAGGGAATCATGGAGTACCAAGATGCTACAAAGGTGCTTCTTCTCTCTCATCAATGTACATGTGCTCTCTAACACAAATAAAATTAATAAACTTTAAAAAATACTATCTCTGGAGGACGAGCAGTTGACATAATGGCTATGTTGCTGGGCTCCCACATAGTTGACCACGGTTCGAGTCTAGACCTGGTGGCTAAAACCCACACCAGGCACGTGTGCATGTGTGCCCAAGATCCCAAAAGGAGAATGAAGGAGAAGGTACTGCAGAGTGCCCATCCTCTCTGGGGGGTGATTTCTCACTTTCTGTCTGTCTCTGTCTTTCTTTTTTGAGAGGTTTTTGCTACAGGTCGCGTGTGCTCCCCAGAAAGAAAAAGAGAGATAGAGAGACAGAAAGCGAGAAATCACCCCCCGGGGGGGATGGCCACACCTCAATCCCTTCTCCACCATTCTCTTCTCAGGATCTTGGGCACACGCACACGCGCCCTATAGCAAAAAACCTCTCCCAAAAAATACAAATTAAAAAAACCACCTCTGGGCCAGTCCCATAGGGCAGTGGTCCTGTACTGTGCATTGGGAGCCGGATCCCATGAATGACCACAGTGCAAGTCACATCTTGCTTGGAAAGCACACTGGGTGTGTGTATGCATACCCAGAATCCTGCAAGATGGAAAAATGGAGGAAAAGGGATTCCAATGTGACCACACCAAGTAGGGGTACTTTCTCTCTCTGGCAAGTACATGTGCCCTCTGGGGGGGAAAAAAAGGAGGAGGAGGAGGAGGAAAAGCACTGTTGAGAGTCATCAAAAATCCTTAGACAGAGCCTTATCTGAATTCAAGTTTATATGAATTAATTAATACAAGGGTACAGAAGAAAACTTGGAAATGTGATAAGGGAAATGCTGTCAGTGAACACTGAGAAGTCATGAAAACCAGAAAGGAGTCAGACTGGTTGGTAATGAGAAAATGCTGCTCAGGCTTTCAAAATGCTAAAAGTGATTTCAGTAAAACAGACTTACTGTTAACATCCAGATACTTCTAAGACTGGTTAGGATGCTGATGACTTGTTAGCACTTACTAGAGAAGCAGCACTTACTAATGATAATGAAATCCTGCCTAGACAAAGTGCTTTTGCTTTCAAACTTACAAAGTACCTTCACACATATTACCTCCTATCTTAGATTCTCACAGAACCCTGGGGAAAAGGCAGCATCATGCACCCCCCACAACCTGCACTCTCTTCAACATATTAACCTGATCTTAGAGCTCAGGTTAACTAACAGCTCGACTTGCTCAGGTTAACTCCCTCCAGTAGAAAATGTGGACTCAAAGTCAAGGCTGATTCCTAACTGAGTTCTGTTTTTATATCAGACAGTTCTTAAAGTCAACATGTGTTAAGAATAAATCATGATGAAATGATATGGGATTGCCTGAAAACACTGGAGAAGTGGTAAGCAGGAAATAACCATATGGATGAAATAAGACTGAGCAGAAGCTGAGTAATGGATACAGGAGGATTAATTTATAATCATCTCTTACTTTTTTTATGATTGAAACTTTTCATAACTTTTTTAAAATGCCAATTAGCATTTTTGATAGGTTTACTGCACTGAGAATCAGAGGAATACCAAAAATATAGTGTACCTGAAGACATTGATTTTATTGAAATCTCACATAATACTCTCATATGTAAACATATTCAGAGAAAAGATAGAAAATGGTATGCCTGAGTGACCACCACTGCACCAAAGGAAAACAGCTAGGATGGTGAGATGTCTTGAAAACGTCCCTTGAGAAATGGTTGAAGAATGAATGAAAGTTTTCCTGAGGGGAGATCTAAGGAGTACGTTTTTGAAAAAAGATTTATTTATTTTTATGTATGTATGTATGTATGTATTTTAATTTGCTACAGGGTTCCCATGCTCACCAGAGAAAGCCAAGGGGTGGAGGCAGAGGGAAGTGAGAAAGCAAGCCTCCAGAACTGGGCCTCACACCACAGTCAGCTGTGTGGGAGTCCAGCACCTTAACTACCATGCCACTTGCTGGTCCCAATCTAAAGAGTACTTTTAAAATGTCTTCAAATATTTAAGTAAAGGGTCAAACTTACTCTGTCTGGTTACAGAAAGTAGAATCAGAAACAATTAACAGAAGATTCAAAATGGACAAATTTTTCTATCAGAAAAAAAAAAAATCACTCTTCCTTAACGTTCTTGACTCAACATACTATTTGCCACAAAACCTTGTCAGTTACCTACAAATTTCTAGGTATTTTCCCTTCATCAAAGACATTTGGCTCTTGGCTTAGTTCTTTCTCTACCCCACAATCCACCACCGTCTAAGTATCATCTAGATTTACTGGTGTTACCTAAAAAGATACAGGTCTCTTAGCTAAATTTAAATTTCAGATGAATGGGAGTTAATTTTCTTTTTTTTAGTATGAGTAAATTCCATGCCATATTTGGGATATACTTACACTAAAAATGTATTCATTGTTTATCTGAAATTCACATTTAACTGAGTGTCTTATATTTCTATTTGCAAAATCTGGCAACCCTAATGTAGATGTTTTCAATGTCAAGACAGATCATCTATCCAACATCTAATCCTTAACTTTCCTTGATCTCTTCAATTCTGCTGACTTATGACAGTAAGATAAGGTCTTCAAATCCAGCTAAGTCCTTAATACTGTCCAATACTACTAAGGTCTCTAGACTGCTCTCTTTTACTCTCATTTACTCCAACAACTATTATAAACTTAAACTCATTCTTCCTTCTCTACCATCTCTGCCTCTAATTCCACCTAAATTTAGATCCCTATCTCCTTCTACCTCCTTCTACCTCCTATAGGTCTTCATTTCATCACTTCCCTTTTTTACATTATTCAAAATCAAAAATCCTTCAAGATGTTTACATTATATTTTGTAGACTTCTTAGTATGGCACGCAGGAGCCTATACAACTCACAACTCAGTTGGAGCATCACTGTCTGACAACTCTCCAACTGCTCAGTCTGAATTAAGTGTTCCCCTTACGTACTCCCAATGTACACTATGATCTATCATAATACTGATCCTAAGTTTCTTACTGTCTTTCTCCCATACTAGACTTTAGGTTTCTTGAATCCAAAAGTTGTGTCTCACCTTTATTTCCCTAGCATTTACCACAATGCTCCAGCATCTACCACAAATAATAGGCATTTAAATGTTTGCAGATCAGATAAACTAGACGAAGCTTAATTTAAGCGAAG